TATATATATATGTATATATGTATGTGTATACGTGTGTGTATACATAATATTCATACATGATATGTATATACTAAATTAGATATTAAAATTTTGTTCGTTGTAATTATGTGCGGAGGGTGTGAGACGTTTCGTTGAGTACACAAGAGCAAACAAGTGAAAGATGCGAAGACAACCCATCACAGAGGTAACGCGTAGGTTGACTTTCCCGGGAGGTGTTTTAGGTCAGTTTATCCGCACGAGAAATTTAGAAAGACAGGAAAGCGCTCCAAAATGGCTAAGAGTAAAAATTGCCGAGATGTTTACAAAATTAACTTACGTTTTTTTCCACGCGAAGTGTTGCGAGGGAATATGTTCTTAAAAGGCGAAATTAGTAACGAACGTTACAGACTATATTTTAAAAAAGTCAGATATAAGTGAGGAAAAGCAGTATGCAGAGCATAAGCTCCGAACTGCAAGCTTTGAGCAACGTGAGATCACTTGGAGCAATATGAAGTTTATTAATGAATTTGTGCCTGAAAGCTATGAAATTCAAAAGGGATTATTATGAAACTTAGCTCAACATAGTACATCCAAGAACCGTTACCATAGGTAAAATATTCATCAACCAGTAAAAACCGATGCCTTTTGAGATAATGGTCTTACTAAATCACTGATTTGTGTTTAAAAAATCACTAAAAGATACTTAATAATACCTAACTCCGTACACTTTCTCTGAACATTCTCCCAGTTGACTTATTTTGTTGTCCGTTATTTTCAAACGCCATTCATTGCCCGTTTTATAATTTTTTGCTGCAGAATACTCACTCAGAAGCGACTACCGATCGATGGCCAGTGGAAGATTGTTCAGCTCAGTGTGAAGCTTATGGCGATCGAAATATCGATTTCAGCGAGAGCTCCACACCCCCTTGCCTATCAACCGGAATCAAAGCGCACACTTTTTCACAAGCACATGATTATGGGTTGTATGGCAGCCCGCATCCACCTGACGGAAGCGCCGTCGATACAGGTGGTCAAGGATTTTTGCAAACATTCAGTGGCACACAAGAGATAACGGAACACTCCTCGGGAGTCAAACCATGTGCACAGTGTGACCGGTCAACAGCGAATGAAGTCCCTAACGAATTAGGTACGGATCCCTGTTCATATTCGTCAACGCAACAACTAACCTTTCGCATCAAAATATCTAACTGAGTGATAGATGCCGAAGATAAAACAACCTTTGTTCGTCAACCTCAAAGAAGTCAATTCATGCACTGAAGCAAGTGATTGTCTGGTCTTAATCACGTGATCCATACCAAGACACACGATTACCACATACACGGTCCAGTAGCTTAGCTAAGGTTTGCACCAACAGCCCTTTGTGGCTCGGGGGCCGACTGGGGGAAGCTTGGGAGCGGTTCAGATCTGGGCGACGTCACCAGACTTCTTTTCGACTCTCCCGATTAACACGTTGCTTCACAGGATGCTACTGCTTTTTCCGGGTCACATATAGCATAAAAATATGACTAAAAGGGATGAAAGCAACCTAATGTATCAAGTGCGAAAAGTTTTAATATGTATGTCCAAGACTATAGTTAAGTTTGAGTCGAGATTTCGAAAACACAAATGCTTCCTGCCACGTTTTTATTGCAAGAAGTGATGTGGGTAGTCAGAAAAAGGCTGTGTAAAGAAAGGCAGGTCGACGGACACGTTAAGGTACGTGGATACGTTTTGTGATGTTAATATTTCTTATTTTATAAACGTCCATTTGCACATATTTCACGCGGAGAAGCAAAGATCTCCTGGAATAAAAGCTTTAAACTCTTCCATGCTATTTACTCGTTTGCATTGACAGTCCATCTTTCCTTGGTTTATGCGCTTCAACCATTTGACTCGTTTTTTCTTGGCTCGTACACAAATGCAATTTGAACGCGCGCGCTTCCAGGCTTGTGCAAAACCAGCCAATCAGAATGCTGGCTTGTGCAGGAATCACAGGCCGGAGGTTCAAGCGATTGAATGAGAATATAAGTGTTCCGACTGATACCACCTTAGTCCAATAAAATGATTGGAACGATTCGGTACATTTATGTGGCTGTTTATATTTCAGTGGCAATTTGTAGAGACAAAAAGTGGTTACAGGATAGAATTTTTTGAAGTTTGACTGCGTTAGGAAGGAAAACTACAGGCAAATGGAAACGTATTCACAGAGCAACTCCTGATTACTGGTGCTACCACCTGGTGTTCCTAGTGTTGAACGCAAACTTCGGGTTGCTTTTTAAGAACGGTCGTTGGAAGCTGATTGCAAAGTGGGGAAAACAAAGCGAAACCATCGCTTTGCCCAAATGAGAAAGGATTTTTCTAAGGTCCCAATTAGTAAAGAAATGAGCCGATTTCAAACGATGCCCTCGGTTTAGCACACGATAAATTTGAGTGTGTGATGGAATTCAGGTTCCAAAAAGTTGTTGATATTACCCAGAACCTTAAATTAGAGTTTACGGTTTCTCAGCTGGAGTTTTAATCTATTGTACCACTTACGTATTTGCTCGTGAGCAAAATCAAACTGTCTTGGCGGACTTTAGCATAAGCTGTCAGACACGAGTAATAATGAACGTACACCAGATAATTTGTACCAATATTCAAGACGTGGAAAACAAACCATGAGTGGTATCTAGATAAAGCCCAATTTAGCTAGCGTTTAAACAAGCAGCTGAGAGCTCCCTGTTAGAAAGTACAGGTCACAACCTGACAAGGCATGTTTCAAGGTTAATTTCCCGTAGAATATCCCCAGTGTTTCTTTAGGTAATAGAATGCACCAGCTGGACTTTATTTAGTCTTCTAAATTATTTCATTGTGTGTAAGATGGCAGGGTTTTAGCGGAAATTTCGGAATTATCTACTAAGCATTTGCATTTTCAATCCATCAAGGCAAATTGCATTTAACCGGGACATTGATTAAACCAATTGTGGGCTGTTCAGCATGTTCAGGGACGGATGCACTGGCGACAAGGAGCAGGTCAATATTTGGACCTCTTGCCACAAATCTAACGAGAACCAGAGCGCAGGAGGCAGATATATCTATCCAAAATGATTTGACTGTCGAAGGATCAAACCGTGCGAGTCCTGGGTCACATGAGCAGCACTACGAAAAGTCATCCTACCACACACACAGCTCCCTGAACTTCAACCCATTTGTTGCCGAGTGGCTCAAAAAACATCGTGTTCTGACGAGTTCGACTGAAGTAGATGAACAAGTGAGTATTCGTTTTTGGAAATATACAACTGGAATAATATGGCCAGGCAGGGACTTCTGTTATAGCCGTTCTTGTTTTTGGTTATGGGATGCTTCGGTTGCGCTTTCGTTCTGTATGCGAGGCAAATGTACGCTGAAAAGTTGATCGATAAAGTACAGTTTTGCGTGCCTCACGAAACTCCATGACCTCTCGGTTAGAAGTTTTGAACATGTAACCTTTCGGTCAATAGCGGCTGCTTAGCCATGTGATTAGCTTGCTCTGACACAGGGTAGAACGTCACTCATCCTTCAGTCACGAAAAACACCATTTGGTTGATTACTGGCCGGCTCCTTGAATGACTAATTCTTGGATGAAAGTTGAGCCCAACTTGTGAAAGTATTCTTTCTCACAAACTGACAGTATAATGCTGATAAGCTGATCGTGGAGGAACTATTATTTCAACCTACTAAACTAGACGTCGCAGACTGAAATTCCCCGAAGTTTCGTGAGGAGCTGATTTTCCCAATTATGATGAAACAGCCATGCTTTTCAAAACTGTTGGTTTCATTGCCAAAAAATCCACCAATCAGACAAAAAGTTTATCGGGCTTCCTCAGAGTAACATCGGGTTATTTAGGCTTTCCAGAATACCACCAAACCAATATCATATAAAGACGAAACGAAAGACAGTAAAACAAAACTGAACAGACAGTCGACAAATCTCTGAATGTAATTTGTACGCAGTTAATCACCGGTGTTCGGCTTTTGAAACCTGCTAGAATCTAAGTATAAATCTGTTTGCTACTAAGGAGAATGTTGGTGACCCACCTGTCAGGTCTTCCCAATCAGGAAGTTCCACAGAATCATGAAACATGAACTATTTATTGGTAGTAGATGTTTGTTTGCATCCAAATAATCCTCTCTTTGATTCTCAAATTCGGGTGGTTTTCTGTGAACCAGTATCACCTCGTTTTGCTATTTTTATGTGTATGGGTGGCCCACCATATGTTTGCCAAAAATGAACACTGTCAACCGAAAGTAGGACAATGTCTAGAAACAGCAACTCCGAAATGTTGTTCCATCTCCACAAGGTAAACTAATGTCGGTGCTACCATTTTCGAATGTTCGATTGCTATAAGCTAGCTTAAAAAAATAACCGCTAGTGAAATTCTGATCACCGTAACGGACTGCTGATCTGATAGATGATGAGAACTGATCTATACGCAACTTTATGCATGTGGGCTTTTGTTTTGAAATACTAAGTTATGTGTCCTATATGAGTTTTTCACGTTGGAAAACAGCGGCTAGAGAGTGATACTTACGCTCCGTCGTATGAATTTTGCTGTCGGGGATAAATACTTGTGGTTATGTTGCTGATAAGGAAACATCTGCTTCATTGTACCACTTGGAGAGTTTTCTGTAGAGGAGAATGTCGGTAGCTCAGGTAGCGTAGATGATCGTTGGCTTGTTCGCTGAGCTGGACAATTTGATTGCAAATATTTCATCACCAATCGAGGTGACGTCATCAGTGCCTTATTGGAGAGCGTAGTGGTGCGTAGCCGTGGGTCGCTGGATCACTTAAAAAGGCAAGGGCGCAATCCGGGGCTCAGATTGTGGCACACTTGCGGCACACTGTAGAGGGGAGTGCTTTATCTAAAGAAATTAGTGAGTTTCTTTTGTTTTTTTTCAATCAAGGGAGTTCCTGTTGTCCGTATCCCCATCAACAGAAGACATGATCCACGTTACCTATCCGAACCCTTTGGATTTAGCTATTCAGATTTGGTCAGAGAGTATATCACTGATCATGAGCAATACTGACATTTATGCTGAAAAGTTTCCCTATTGAGAATATAGCTCAACTGGATCAGTGTTCAGTACAATCGTGGAACAGTGCATTTTTTCCACTTGTTTGTCAAAATCCGCCACTGAAAATTCAATGAGATGCACTTACTGGCTGTTAAAGAAGGAAAGTAGTGGACTATTCAATCGTTGCAACATATTTCACATCTCAAAATCTCTTGTTGTATGACTACTCTAATGTGAACAAATCGAGCTAAATTTTTAGTTCCACGAAAGGCTGGTAACTCAAAAATTACAGCCTAATTACAAAGGTCATTTGTCCACGGTAGGACTGGCTTTCTTTTTTACTTTCTTTCTACTTATCAATTTCAGTACGCAGAAAAGGTGGCAGAAATGAAGTCGTCAAATGACGAAGCTCGCAAAGTTCAAAATGGTCACGCCCACATGGACCATCCAACCGCTATTCCCAGTTATCTCATTGGTGGTCCCACTGCCGAGGCTGAAAAGGCCATCAGTCGGCCATACGTATCTACGTAAGTCACCTGTCATTTCGCAAACGTCTCACTTGCCTTGTCTTTAAGGAATCGGCGCTGAGAATGTCTTACCCCGAAGTGAAAATTTTAGCTATAGCTGATAATTTGTTGAAATATTGGTAGCTCGGGTGAGTTTATTGGTTGTTGATCAAGTGGCTGTTGATCTGTTCGCCGAGCTTGGCAATTGGCTTGCAAACGTTTCGTCACCATACGAGGAGACATCATCAGTGCACAGTTGAGTGGATACTTCTTCCTTGCCTGCGTGCGTTTATATAGCATTCGAAGGCTATCTGTTATCTTCTGACGTGACTGGCTACTTAAAGTGTAACAAATTCGGTGAATCTATGGGTCCGTTTGTGATCTTTGTTGCTTTGTGGTCTGCTTTCCTCTGTGTTGATTGGTTATCCTCACGCCTTCTATCTTTAGTAGTTTGTTCTCTTCGGCCTTGTTTTGTATTGCATTGTTTTTCAAACACCCTAATGAGGATTCATTAGGTAACGGTACGACGAATGTTCAGGAAATTTACCGTAATCACGGAGATCCTATTGGACCATCAAACGTCAGCAGCGGCATTAAATATTCCTTGGATGTCTGAATTAAACGTAGACCCCTAATGAATTTTATCATAAGGTGATGAAAAAAAGTAGATACTTAGTACGTTTTTCTCCGTGTTCCCGAGATAACAGGCACTCGTTCTCTACTCGGTGTCACTACCACAGCGCCCTAGCGAAGTCGAGCCAAGATCACAAATGAACACCCAAGAAAAAGGGGTACTGTTTTACAACAGAACCGGTTTAATAAAGATAGTGTCACCTCCTCAGGCATCAGGCGAATCTGATCAGATTGTGGAAGCTGTCTCATCAGAAAAGGAGAAAAACGAACATTTAGCTATCAACGATGAGCGCCAGACAACACTCACATTTTTTTTATAAAACTCAGCATAACCAGTTCTCTGTACAGCTCCGTAGGCTAAATAAGAATCGGTCCAACGTCAGCCTTTTTCGTGAAATCTTTCACATCTGGTTATCACAAAGTCGAAGTTAATCAAATGCACTCACAAGTAAAAATAACAGCATGCAGAGGCTATACACTGAACATGAGACAATGGCTGATGGTTCATTTTAACCGTGAGGAAGTTAAAAGGTAGCTATTTTCTGTTGGTTACCATGGCAGAATAATCCCTTAATTCACTCCCTCAAAACATTTACTGGATGTCCGGTGGACAGTCAGCTTGTTTCAGTTTTAATGACATCCTGCCGTCAAGAAAAATTAAAAGATTTATTAACATTAACAAAATACACTCATTTGCAAACAACTTTGGTTTTGCGGGAAACTCACCTGAAACCCAGCTGAATCTCTCGTTTGTGATGTTTCCAGGTAACCGAATGTGTCGCCCCAGGCCACTTGCTACGATATTCAAGATATCGCGATACATATAATGCACTACTCATAACGGAAACTCCGGGACTGCGTCTACCTGATGAGCCCCAAGAAGGGCGAAACCGGTCGTAGGCTGTCCAGGAATTTTAAGCAACCTTATGAGTAGTGTCTTACAAATTGATTAACGTTCATCCAAAAGCTGATCAACACTGTACCACTAAGCCAATGGAAACGCACAAATGCATTTTGATGCGACGACCATTTTTCAACATCCTATACTCAAACCCGTGCCTGTCTAAGGATTGGAAAACAGTGCACCTTTAACTGGTGACGGTAATCGGTCGACTGACAAATATTTATGAACCCATAGCCACAGTCTATGGATGCCATAATTCTAGCCATATTTTACATTTGCAGCGCAGCGAAGCTTGTCAGTTTTCGACTGATCCCTTTGGAGACTTTAAATACTGTTATCTTCCTCCTAGTTGGTAAGAAAGGACTAATTATTCGCCTGTAACGTGAAATCTCTCCTTAGCCTAGAGATATCAAGCGCAGAAATTTATTTAGATCACTCTTTCGTCCTCCTGTCTATTTAAAGAACCGCAGAGGCACACGCAAACCAACAGAGACAGGACCGACGAGGCAGCCAACAGTCCAGCTGTCATTGTATGATCATGGGAAAGCTGATCCAGTTTTCTAATTCACGGAGAATGTGATGGTTGCGCACAAATGTCTTTTTTGTTCCTCTGGCTGACTTTTGCCGCTTGGCATGCCAGGGACATACGGACTGGCCTAGGTGATACTGTAGTTATAACGTTTGAGAATAACTAGGCCTGCCCAGGCTGGGCTTAATCATGGTTAGGTCATCTGATCGAACAGATGTACGCCAACGCTGTAAGTAGTACATACTGCCAGTAAGAAAACTGAAAAATCCTCGCAGTTAATCGAACATTGTTTCGTCGTATTAATTCTCTTTTTGTGAACTTGACTATATTCACCTGGTGGCTCAGATGAACTCATAAAAACGCGTTTCCTAAGGGTGATTAGTTTTCCGTCCTCGTAACACCATGTTTGTTTGTAATCATACAGCCTACTCAAGAAGATTCTTCTTTCCTCCAGCAGATGAGCAATATTGCGTCCGAATGCAGTGCTCCCTGTGCAACTTTCCTTCCTGGACTGACACAATTTCAGAAACCACTTCATGACAAGGAACTATTTGTGGAGTTATATTAGGCCCAAAAACTCCAGCCGCATACTGTCTTTCGTTCGTCTCTCGACTTTGAAGTGTGTGTGTGTGTGAGGTTACACGGTCAGAAATGTGAAACGGTTAACCAAAGAATAACGTGCCTTCTCCATATACACAAACTAAAGGAGTTAGCGGAAAGGTGGAAAGCTTTAGGTTGTTGAGCTACTCAGTATACGATGCACCATCAGACGACAAACTGTTGGATTTCCAGTCAATGGTTTGTGAGTTATCAGGTCGTTTACGAGAACTGCTGGTTACACAAACGAAACATTACCAAATTCAGTTCATTTAAATCATCTGCGGTTGCTGTACTGCTTGAATGTCCATGATTAGCCAAGAAACCATTCACCCAAATCCAACTGAAATTACTTCAGTTTATGAAGTCTGTAGGGTAGATGGTAGTGTTATTTTTAATCATTTCTGTGTATCCATACAAAGGCATCCGTACATTGTGCTTTCTTTCAGTTGTTGAAACTACTACTCAAACGTCGCATGTGTACCAAAGCCTGATTACTTCCTTGATCATGAAAGGTCTACATTTTACGAGTCTTTTTTACGATGAAGCATGACAAACTTCCTAGTCTTTGAGGCACCCTGTTGGCTACGGTTTACTGGCAGAGATCTCGGGTACCCGGGGTGCATGCAATCCCGTAGAGGGCCCCTCGTCTTCATATTAGACAAGATTCAGCACCATTATTCACCTGATGCCTAATTAGATCCGATTCTTGTTCTAAACGAAACAGCAGGTTTGGCAAAAGGGGACTTGCTTAGTATCTGACGAAACCCAAGCAGTTACAATGGGTTTGCACAATGTGGAACACAGCATTCGGAAAGCAAAATATTTGTCTGTCGAAGGAAAGCTGGCATAAATTGACCACATGGCGTAGAATATCTCGTTTGATCCAAGTACAGATTATCCGGTTTTTAATACGTTTTGAGGACACTATTCACACGTTAATTTTAATCTCATCTCTTTGCACAGTGCTCAACCGGAAAGACGTGAAACAGTTTGTCAGAAGTGCACTAAGCTAGCAAGTCAGAAGCCAAACAGGATAATACCAACTGGAGAAATATGCGACACTGATGACCACTTTTCATCAAAAGAAATCAACTCAAACTTTGCTCGCATAGCCAAGTGGGTAAAGTCAGTTGCGATGGAAACTGGCGACACGACAGTAGCGGAACAGCGAGGAGGAAAGATAACGTCGAATGATGGCGCTTGCTTGCTGAACCCAATTCAAAATCCAAATCAACCTGAGGGAACTAAGATGCGAGTCTTCAGGTTGTTGTTCCCCACCGGACTTTCAAACGATAAAACACCCACGACCTATTTGCATGCAAACACGTTCAGCACACAAAACGCTATTCCTCAAAAAGAAACAGAACCAATCCAATCAGCCACAGGAATTCCTGTTCCGTGTGTTCCCACCCTGTTCCCTGATCACCACCGATATCGTCGAGGAAGATCTGTACCCCCCAGAGGACTCAAACAATCTGGCACTCGTCAACTACCCAGTCAAGCTACGCTGCACACACTGCCTTCGAACGATATGTCCACGACACATCCAAATATTCTGAGCTCCGAAGTTCCAGTCACCAGAGAACAAGGTGATCTCCCAGGATCTCTGGAACTACGTCGTCCAGATGGTTCATCTAATCCACACCTTCACCTCCAAGAGCAAGGACTAAGTGCTGATATATTGCCGAGACACCTAGAAAACCAACCGATGCCGCTTTGTACTAAACACTACCAACATCCCCGATGCAAGCATTTTACTTTCTGCGGCCCCAAATATAAAACAGTTGGCACAAAGCATGTAGTGGGACACGGGTCGGAGGATGAAATCTATGCTTCCATCCAACCCTCATTCCTTTGTGCAAATATACATTACAGTTTACAAAAGAAATATCGTTCTCCGGAATTCGGCAAACACTTGGTGCGACCCAACGAAAAAACGAAGATGTACGAAAAACAAGTCTCTCTTGAAACACCCACAGCTCGACGAAGGCCTAGAAGTTATTGTTCTTCGTTGAATAGTGTTCATTCTGATGAAACAGGTATCTGTAATCCACAGGCTAGACATCCTTCCGACCAACCTTTTGAACTGGTTGAAAAGCACGTGGTGATCATTGGTACAAAATCAAGAAACACCAAAGAAGCACGTTCCAAGGTAAGTTTGATTACGTTTAGAATTTAGTGCAATTATATGCTGTAAACCAAGCATATCTATGTCACTTATTAAGATCATGTTGCAACGGCATTTTTACCTGAGAAGCACCTGTGAGTAATCATTCCAGTCGACCATATTCCCGATGCCCTAGTGTGTAACACGGGAAGTGTTGTGTCTTTGGTCTGGCCAAATAACGTACTTATGCAGCATATTTTGATTCGCCAATCAACCAGATTAATCATCGTCATATAGCAAACCCCCCGGAATCCGGGGTGATAGCGTCTGTTTCTTTTTTTCGTCTGAACTGTGTGTTCATGGCTTGTCTAAATTCCTGTCCCACATAAGTGATGAGTCACTCAAGTAGCTCACCACTGACGGGCGATCAATAGCTTTCAATCCATTTATAACATACTTATCCAATCAGATTAAACTTGCTGGCCTTGAGTGCGATAACTTTGTCTGAACAAACACTAGAGAGCAAAATGATGTGGCAAGTAGGGGTCTCGTGAATGGGGACGTAAGCACTCGTTTTAGTGGTCCATCAAAACATTTTTAGTTGATTAACTCATTTGAGAATGCTTTGTGTTTTTGGATAAGCACTTGCGTTGAGTTTAACACTCTTTGGTGATGTTTTCTTGATCACGCTAGTATAGCTCTATGCTACAATGAATTGTTCTTATGTTTTGCTTTCTTCCTGTGATCTTCGTAAACACCGCATCCGTGTCAATTGTGAAACGTTTTGGTCATTGCACGTGTAGTTACACGTCATTCACAAAACTATAACCCAATATTCAACTCCATTTCCCACCTTTAGTCCTCCAAGGGTCGTCTGGGCTTTCTAACTAGCCCGTTGTTTGGAAAAAGAAGAGAAAAAGTACACGATGCTATTCAGAAAACCGGGACTCCTGACAACGAGAAGCAGCGACAACTGAGAAGTAACAAGGCAAACCCACATACGGCACAAATCCATGCACCCCGACTATCGACTGCAGCGCCTACTAGCCTGGATTTCAGGCCAGCGGAAACAAGTCCATTCAAACAACAGGCGATTCACACATCTGTGAGAATAGCAGAGGTTGGAATGCAACATGAGTGCGCAACTCGCCGTATGTGTGCGGAAGGAACTGAATTGTCCTGTTCACGTATACCTTCCCATTCATCTCGGAAGATGCACTCTACCAGGTGGCCGGATATGACGCATGGCAGTCCGAAATTCTCGTCCAAGCAGTCAAGTAGCGGTCACGGGAGCGAATGCAGCAGCAATCCTTATCCACAAGTTGGAACAGAGATCAATGAGGGATTTTCGTGCCCGGGTCACCAGTATCAGTGCCCACACTATCGGCGGCCTAATCGAGCACGCCACAGTGAGTCTAACCAAGTCGGTTCAACTACTGTGGCCAAACATCGATGTCGGATTTGCTTCCACCGAAGGTGTGACTGTGCCACTGAGGTTGGCATGAAATTCGGTACACTGAGTGAGCACAAGACTATTCGATGTGGTTTGTATGGTAGAAACGTAACGCGTTGCAGTTCAAATCGGACGGACTGCAAAATTCCCTTGGAACCATATCGCAAGTATTCAGTAACCGATTCTGTTGGGGTTGGTGCCATGATCACAGAATCAAACGGTAAAAATCGGACCCTGGCATCTCCGAGTGTGAAATCATCTGTGATCACACAGAATTCCGTTGGAGTGAGAGTTGGAGGAGGCCATACGAGCAGTGGATATGAAAGTATTGTTCGTGACAGCGAAGTCTCATCGCACGCTGACTCAACAAGTGGCAGTTCTGTTGGCTGTCAGGCTGAGGCGATCTGTAGTGAGCACCCTTCGGCTGTTCCTGCAACCAAGGGTGAGAAGACGCACGACGTCAACCGCCCTACTCCCTCATCTGCATTCCCGTCCGATTCGACGGGAAAACAGGATCTGAATTCCGAGCGACATGATGGACAATTCGCCAATTCCAACTGTTCCCCTGCTTCCCGAACCATGACAAACGGGCAACAAGCTGTGACAGCAAACGTTGTGAATCCACAAAACAGCAACTGTCTGTGTAAGTCGGTGTTATATCAAAATGGGTAAGGTTTTGAAGCATGAGATTCAAGAATGTACAGTTTTGGTTAGAACAACAATTACTGTGGTACATTTTTAAAGAAACCTTTCCGTGAGAGAAGTCCTCAGTCGAAAGGGAAGATCCGAATTTTGTCACTGACAAACCTCATTTAGAAAGAATTTCTTCAACTGACTGAGAATTGGAAAAAAGCGGACGATAAGTAGAGTTGGTTATGTCGCTCAACTTGTTCACGTGGCCGGTAAACACTGCCAGCTGAGTAAGTTAGCTGACCGGTTGGATATGACAATGACTCGGGAGTCTGTATTGAATTTCACCGATCATTGAGCACCGAAACAAGGGTGTATCTGACGCAGTTTACCAGATTTTCGTCAGTTCAGTGTCGGTTAGAAACGGTTTTAACCCACATTGGTGTATTCTGACGACGACAGTCTGTTCTTGTTACAAAACATTTCACAGAAAAAGTTATCCAAGCCACGTGACATAAGTGGCCGATTCCGAACGATACTCAAGTAGCAGTGGATTTATTCGCACATAATGGTGATTCCTGAGCGTCATATGGGCAGCGGAAACCCCAGTTTTATCTTTGGACGACGGTTACGGAAGCCTTACTGTTATAGCATCCAGGGGTAGAGATGTTCACTTTCTTTAGCGTATTTAATCCGTTGGACGTTAAATAGACCAAATTGACACGCGGTGCAGAAATAAGCGAATACGGAGGAATCGTCCCCTAATAGGTGGGTGAGATCTGAAGCTGCGGTAGAGAATCTCCCAAACTGGAGGTTGATATTGCATTTTCGGGGCATTCTGTAATTAAGTAGGTAATTCATCATCTGATCGAAAAGCAAGTTCAAGCCGAGAGCTGATTGCCCTAGGTTCAAGTGTTTTATTTTGTCAACTCCCATCTTAACGCAGTCTGTGTGGTAACAATTTTCCGTTCCAGTACAACAGTACTTGTCACGTCCACTCGGTTATATTGCATGGATATTTGTCTTGACCACTCTTGAGTGCTTCAATTCCCCAATCGAAGTGGTTGCAAGATGTTTCTATGAGTTTCCTTGTTTTTCACACAGAATTCTGTGAATACGGGGCTGTTCTTCGTTTTTTAATCAGAATTTTATTCTGGAAGAGAAGGCATCCTGTGCTGAAAAGTTCAGGAAATCTGTATAATCGGTTGTCAGCGCGCAGCTTTCGAACGTCATGGATATCTTGGGAGATTCGAAACCGCGATCTTCCCGAAAGAGGTTCAACATCTAGCCTTTAAGTGACCTAGCTTGGGTGGGATGGAGTTCATCCATCTTCCCCTGAGGTAGTTCATGTTGTTCACTGGCCGGCCACATTGGTGACAAGCCACTTGTGGAGGACTTATGTAATTTTCAGCTACTCGCCGGATAACCAATGTAATAATGAGACGCACTCCGCCTACAATTCCCAGCGAGAATGACAGTTTGCTAGTGCTTCTCCGCTCCCCAAACTTTTCTGTCTCATTGCGGAAGGACAACTTGAGCGTGGTTTTTTTTGCGGTTGCCCGAAGCACTCTAGCCAGTTCATCCGTTGGCCTATCGAATGCACACCAATGGTCTGATCCTCAGTGTACAGCTCCTACCTAGTTTCAAAATGGAAATGTACCGGTTCTATCTAGAATACATCTTAATTTGGGGAGAACTGACAGAATCTGAAATTAGGATGTCCCAAAGAATAGGACCTCATATCTCAGGAACATTGACATCCAACTAGTTAGACCTCACATGAGGTCATTGCGGACTTTTACCGGTACTTGTAAAAATTACCCGGATGCTTTGGAGTGAAATCGCCTAGACCAAAAAACTTGAGCGATTAATAAGCTACATATGGTTTGCTCCGCGAATGAAGAAACATTGGTGTTCAGTGTTGATTATTCTTTATTTCCGACTTGCTGTGCTCGGAGTCGTTGTAACTTGTGGACCTCCCACTGTATGCTAACTTAACGCATCTCTCGTGAATTTACGGCCTGACTGTTATCTCGGCTTCGGCCGAACCTTCCGCGTTTAAATGTTGACTTTCATTCGCTTAAGTAGTTCTTAGTAAATGCTACTTAGAATGGTACTGCTCAGTTTACCTCTCCTTCACCCAGCTGCCTCCTCGTCCTCGTCAACGTCACGTCGCAGCCATTCAGCTCCACCGTGTTCTGAAGACACTTCCGAGGCGACAACAAGCAGTCCAATTAGTGTTCGTTACGTGCCACCAAAGGCTACCACCACAGTCGTCTCTTCACTGACCACAAGTGTGGAAAATTCCGGGGCCGGTAAAACGGACGAACCAAGTGTAGTGACAAATGAGACACATCAAGAAGAAATTCAGGTGCGTTTTTGAAGGTCACAAAATCTGAACGGACCACCTCTGTTCGGTCGCATTTACCAAATGAGATCTGGAATGGCTTTTAGTTTCAGAGCGTCTGGTAACCAATGGATGGGTTTTAACTGGGTAACGTTTCGCTTTTGACACAAACGTTTTGTCAGGACAGTCATGCAGGTTACCAAGTTGGTCAGGTTATAAGACAGACAGAGGACCAGTCACCTCTTCCGGAGAATAGTTGAGTCATTTGAGCTGACATGTGATCCTACTTGATCTCACGCACCCACTCTCCAGTTTTATTTTCCAAGCACTTGCAAGCCCACACAGTGTAGGAAAATTTAACAGTGGCACCCAAGATGAATTATTGACTGAAGCCCTTCGAATCGGAAGATAAAGAAGCCGAAGATGATCAAAAATAATTTGAAATTCCCCAAACCTATTGGCCGTAAGATTTGGGCAACTGCATCAACCTTCAGGGCGCTTTGACTGACGTTCAATACTTATCTAGTGTACCAATCGGCTGAAGTTTTGGCGATTAGTTCTCCGTTTGTCTTAAGACCTGGTAAGCTTGATGATCTGCTCACTTGGTCTGACGAAGTTTTTTTGTCAATTGCGACACGTTACCCAGTTAAAAACTATCGATTATTTATCGGGTCATTTTGAAACGATGAATACCCATTCCGCTCCACACTTTTCCAGTTTGAAACAGTTCTTTACTGCCTTGGTTCGGTACAATATTTTTCAGTTACGCTAATCTCGTTTTGTTGTGCGTTGTCGGTTATCTTTTGTCCACAAAACAAACAAATTAAAGGTCAGTTGAAACAAGTACTTAGGCAACTAGTTGGCCTAAAAGCTAGTCACTGGGATTTGGGAACATACATCTTACTGGTGCAATCAGTCATGTCCAGTATGTTGGAGCGACTGTCGCGCAAAAATCCATTGAGCACAGAAATCGTGATTCGAACTGCGCGCTCCGCCAGGTTACCCGATCCTGACTCAGAATGAATATGAGGCCTTCAAGATTCTTGGAGCGAATCTGCAAATTCCACCGGTTGAAATTTTGACCTAACCACATGCATGGATGCCCACCTAAGGCTTGGTGCGGACTGTTTTGTCCAGAATCACACCGAAAGGAACGACAAACTGCCTGGACTGACCTGATGGGCGTAGCAAGGACTCGGTGACCTACGATGTGCTCTCCCTGGTTGATAGCATTGAACTCGAGGGCCTAGCTCTACCGAGACGCCTCAGTCCAGTACCACTGTTGTCTATGTCATGGTAATGCTGAGACTCCTGGACAGAATCACGGGCAAATTCGATTTTGTTTGATTCGGATACGATTGGCGGGTAAGCACCGGAAGATCCAACCTGGCTGTTTTTCGCTGCATTACGAGTTTGATTACACTGATTACTAGCTGACAAAAAACGAGAAGAAGTTTGCTGCTGGGTAGCAGAATAAGTTTAGTCAAAAGCTTATAGGATAGCTTTCGGAATTCGCGTAAAAATTTATTGGGGGAATAACATACACCGGATAGCCCATAATCATCATACGACGAAGACTGAAGGTAATCAGATCGCTCTTCTGGCATTGTGTGACATGAATTATCGGTTCCACTTATGAATTTCAATAGGTGCCTCCTTCCGGTTGGGAGCCATCGAATGAGGGAGGTAGTGCTCGATCACGCGGAGTGAGCAAGCCACATGAATGGTTGAAATGATGCTTATGTGGCAAAATATGTTCAGCCGCTTAATTAAAATGGATGGGGAACCAAAAATATTCGGATCCAAGACAGAGAATCATGTTGCAACATGTGAACCACACAAGTTTAACTTAATTTTGGTAAACCTCCGCAACTGCCCGGGATTTTAAAAAAGCATAGAGCTTATTTTAAGTCTAACATTCTGCCGTTAAGAGCGTCTGTTTAAAGTAATCGTGGCTACTCTGAGGCCTCAAAATGGTAAGCAAACGGGAATATGCAAAAAGAACCTTGAACGGGTAGTCAGTTACACATAAAGGCTTTGATTTTCAGCCACAATTTATCCCATCTCTTATAATCAGCTTGCTAACATTTAGATTTTCCATGAATACATCGTACTTTGATCACTTTCCGATGACAACTCTGCACTTAGAAGTGGGCCCCATTAAGAAATATAAGCTCCCTCCAAGTGATACCATCACCCCTCAAATGAGCAGACTTCACTAGGCTCGATTATGGTGACTTTTGATAGATCATCACGGTAAAAATTAGAAAACCATGACTTCAGCTCCTGCAGATTTTGACAAGATGAAACTTTAGAGTAGAATCATAAATGATCATGCTACTCCAACGACTGCAGCAATGAATCAACTCACACATCTGCTTAGAAGTAATACCAATACAGATAGCTTTAACACTACGCTTTTTGTATTCCAGATAACGTGTTCTGCACCTATAGTTTTCCAACCTAGATTTGCACAAAAGCGTGAGCTTGCATGCAAGGGCTATTGTACGAGTCATCAAGTATGAATCTCGGAACTGGGAATAATTTTAACTACTGTCCCACAACACCAGACAGAAAGCTGAGTGAACGTATGTCCAATGAGATGGCACACAAGTTTCGACATAAAAGAGGTGCAATTTCGGATAGCGCTTGTACGGGACGAGGCTTTCTGGTATTTAGAAACGTGACGGTCATAAAGACTGCCTTCGCACGGGAGTATTTACCAAACTGCAGGTGTTGAAGCCTGAGGACACGTCCACTACACGACTATATGGAATTGTTCAATCCCGACCTTATTTAAATTAAGATTGAATTTTCAGGTTTCTGTGTGCTCAGAAATGTGTGATTGCCCTGTATGACAATTCACTTTATCTTAGCAACTGGAGAACTATAACTGTCGTCGTAATGTACTACTCATAAGGTTGCTGAGAATCCATCGACAGCCCACGACCCGTTTCGCCTTTCTCGAAGCTCATCAGGTAGGCGCAGTCCTCGAGTTTCCGTCAACATTATGTTCTACTTGAAACCAAATTGCACGAAATTAGCGAATATACACTCATCTGCAAACTAATTCGGGAGACTCACCTGGAAATTAGTTTGCAAAAGAGTGTATATAGCTGTCGTCATTCATAGCAGATCAAATTAAAAATTGAAAAACGCTAAGCCCTTGTTTGATAGGAAAACACGTGGAATGGGCCCTTTCCGCTGGATTTTACTTCAGATACCCTGGAGAACATGTGATTTGTTCAAGTAAGGTGTTTTGTAGGACGTCACACAAGCCGACGGTAGAGAGTGTCTGTTTATCTTTCACATGGAATCTGATGAGAGTGAACGCCAAACGCAGACGGTTGGCCGTATATTTCATAACGGTGGACTATGTCGGCATTTTGGGAACAAGCTACGCATTTGTCCCGTTTGAATAAAAGCCCGTTTCAATCTCCACAACATGGGCTGCATATTTTCCAGTATGAGTCGTTCTAGGAATCCGTACCACGTAGATACGTGTGTCACGCTACCTGACTGGGAAGTCCTGACTGGCGGGTCAGTCGATCGTCACAACCAAGACAGTTGCTAGGTCGTCATTCGATGAGTCGGACACACCAATGACATTGCTCAAGTGTGAATACGTTCAGACGTGAAGATTCAGACGCGTCCAACGTGCGTTGGTGGTTACACGCTTGCCTCAGATGTTCGGGGTTCGAATCTCGGCACGGTCATTGGATATGCACTGCTGATGAGCTCTTATGAGGGCGGAACGCGAGTCTATTGCTTCCCTTTGGTGTGGGTGAACTCACCGGAATAATTACGCCAGAATAGGAGGACGACCGTTCAAACGGGCGCGGTGTGACTAGGATCGAAATCGTAATAAGTGTGAACATAGTCAGGACTGTTTAGCACTTTTTTTTGCGCCTTTTGTTATCTGCAACAAGTACAAACATCGTATGCGTGCAGGCTGTATAGTTCCTGATCATTATGGTTTGCTACTAACTTTCAACTTCACTCATGAACAAAAGGGGACTCAGAGACCCCAGAGCATTTCCATGTTCCTTCCAGCAGATTGAATCATTGAAACAAGATTGAACATATTATGTGCAAATCAAAAACAGTCCTTCAAAGTGCTAACATTTGTGTTGCCTAAGACATTCACAAGGCGGTAAATTTGTAAACAATGGGGGATAAGCGTCTATGTTTGTCTACCATTAACCATCCAAATCTCTTAGCGAACTAGAATATATTTTACAAACTAAGTTAAGAATTCTCCCCCTAGTTGGTTCTAAAAGTCTAGCTAGCTATTTGGCCAACATGCCAAGAACAAGTCTGTCAGGTGGACACGGGTTTGTGAACTTTTTGAAGGATTTTCAGATGTGCTGGAAAATACTAGCATCAGAGATGGCCAAGCCTTTGACCTGTCACATTGACTTGAATGATGTTGTTGTCACTAGGTGAGTCTTGAACTTCCCACATGGTATTTTCTAAAGTGGACTCGTCCGACAGAATGCCGTTCACTGTATCCCTCCATCGAAACGACTCCTGCTGCTTCATGAGGGGTATGTAGTAGGACCCAGGGAGACCTGAGGAGGAAACAATTTTGGGAAACTGACAACACTCTCGATTCGGGTTCCAACCTCAGGATGGTAAACTTTCGACGGAAACAGCAAATGTTCAGGTTTAAGGATAAAGCCTGCAAAAAATGGCCCTCCAGTGCTGTGCACATGACTTTTGTTATTCTCAGCCCACTGTCAAACAGAATCATACTGTAGAGGAAAATTTTGGTAGTTCGGGTGGCGTAGATAATCGTTGGCTTGTTCGCTGAGCTGGGCGATTGTAACCAAATTGCCAAGCTCAGGGAACAAGCCAACTACCAGAATTCTACTGGTTCACTAACAAAACAGTGGGCGCACTTGTCTGTCTGCGGTTGGAAGGCCCCTTTTTAAAGAATCACTTGTGACTGAAGTGGTCGCTCGTAAGAGAGGTTAGCACATTTTATTTTCCCCTTTTTCGCTCTTCTAGCCGATATCCTATCGGTTTGAAGCCAATGACACTTGTTGGCGTGCACAAAATGTTGAAATCCATTGGCAAAAACGTACACTGCTAACCAGTAGCACGTCCTACCAAAATACGAAGTATCATGGGCTTACTGCGTGACATGTAAATAAGAAAACGTCTCTCACATTGGTTTTCAGTACAGTTTGCACTACAGTGAATAGGGCACCGACAACGATGGTGCACTCGTTATGAATTTTGATGAGCGAATAAAGGGTGCAGAGCATTTGTCTTGAGAAATCCACGGAAGGGAATATGTTTGCGAACCGTCGCAGGTTTAGCAACGTGCGAACAACCCCTTGAACTGATGTGTTCTAGAAGCTTCCAAAAAAGCTCGAAGATGGTATCTTTGGGTTGTTCAGATAAGCTGGATCAAGTGGAGCGACGCTTTTGCATTCAAACAGTGATTAGTCCCTGCGAAACAATAATGGAGAGCGAAATACACTCATCTGCAAAAACAACTTGGTTTTGCGGGAGACACGTTAGGAACTCAGCTGAATGTCGTCCTGGAAACTAACTGCCTGCAAGCGGAACTACTGTGGCTAGGTGCCGGCTCTAAGCGGCATCGCCGCATTTCATTCAAGCAAAGAACCCAAAGTAACTTTGGACTTTGGACACCATAAGTGAGTTTCATGACTTGCTGGACAGTCTATTTAGTCTGCCCAGTTGAAAAAAAAATGGAATATGCCTTCGGTGTCCACCCGTAGTGGAGCACAATACAGTTTAGGCCGGGCGTTGGAGACATCATCTTTACCACTTGCAGACGAGTTGACTGTAATTCAAAACACCTGCCGGTCAACTTAAAATGACATATCGTCAGTTCCATGACCCTAGACTTTCTTGTCACTAACTAGAGTACTTAAAACTGAAAAAGTACGAACATTGTGTATTTGAGCTCGCAGACGGGCATTTATGTCGCTCCGATATATATATTGACATCCATTGACTTGTGATAAAAGTATCTTGGGCCATTGCTGAACCAGATAAGGTAATCTGGCTGACAGCCAACCCATTTTTAGAGGTATAGTTGGTCATTTGATGATCACATTTTTGAGCAAGTTTTGATGAGTAAGCTAAGTGATAAGCACTTATTTACGGTTGTAAATAGCAACCCATTACACCCAGAAAAACGGGTTGGCAGTGAAATAGATGGTGCTGACCAAATCTGTTTAATATTGCAAGCAAACCATTTTTTATATCACCAGCGAAACATTTTAGGCTTTAATCCTCCTTCTGAACTATCTTGTCTGAAAAGCTGAGGTTCCCCGTACGGAATTCCGATTGACGCGTAGGCCTGGCGATTTTGAGTATCAAAAGGATCACTTGGGATCGAAAGTTTACGGTACTATTTATACAAAATAAGCAAACCTGTACAGCAAACATCAATTGTCCACGTTCGTTGAGGCAAATCGTACACGTGTGTGTAACTGACCGGCCCAGTGTAGTATCAAAGTCCGCAAACCAGACAACGGCGAGCGGAATGTTGGCTCCATTATGTGGGTTGCGGTCATCCCTTCCGAGGATAGTCACATGATTCCGTTTGGGAAATCATGGCAGAAGTAGTCAGGGTAGGCTCAGTAAACATGGCACGAACACGCATGACTGAGTAGGTCGGCTGCGCATACACACATGCTGATGAATCGGCGTCGAAGGGGAAGGCCTTTGTGGCAAGGTGAATGGTGGGTACCTATGGACAAAACAACTAAAGATGAGAAACACATGGACGGGAATCATCAAAAGGTCAAGCAATATTCAGCAATTCGATTATTATGACTAACTTCTGTCGTCAAAAGCTAATATGCACCAGTAAAGCGTAACGGCTGCAGATGGCCAGCAACACAATCCAGCTGAGGGTTGACTGCTCAGTGCAAAATCGTTTGTCTCATTGCTGATAATTCTTCTGCTACTGGTGAAAGGAAGAAGGCCTTCGCTGCGTTATTTATTAAAGAAACGCCAACCGAACGGTTACAGACTGTTGGACAGGAAGCAATACTCTCATCTCGTTTACAAAAACTGAATATTCATCTTCGCCTTGAACGTGTTTTCCTGAAATTTCCTGTGTATTCATTAACCGCTACTCAAATGCAAGCAAATGTTACAAAGTTACTTCACAAATTCCGTAATAGATCTCACTTTTCAAGAGATGCGAAGCGGATTTACGAGAAAACATCCTACTCGCATGCCTCATTAGTAGTAATCACCATTACACTGGTACACACCAACTTGGATCCATTACTTAAAATGCATGCTGATGATTCTAAAACAATTATTAAGCTTCACTAATTTTCACTGCTGGCCCAACTCAGCACCACCTTGTAGTTAGAGGTGACATGGAGCTTTTTCTTTGTGCATTCCTGTCGGGTAACTCTATTGTTTAACTCACAGAAGGCATTAATCAAACTACGAAAAAGTGTGTTGAAGGCATCATACATTCGCAAGGAGAGCTACGCATAGTTGTGTAGTTAAAAAACCTAGACCTGTCTTTTAAAAAAACGAGTAGGCATGTCCGTCCGGTTGTTGAGTATGCTACACTTGATTATGTTCGTCTGCTGCAGTATGATGAAACTGGAAGAAAAAGTCTTGGTCGATTCCTCATGTTATTTAAACTTTTAGATTTTGTTTTTGGGAGCCGTCAACAGGAATTTGGTGAAGGTAAAAATCAGGGTCTTTTTCAATCGGTTTCCTTATTCTCAGCTACTGATTATCAGTATCACAAGTAGCCTCATGTTTTGTGAATATGTTTTTTACGCTTTCAAACAGGAAATGCTCCGACAGATACGTTATGAGAGGATTTATGACTTGCTAGCGCAGCAAGATACCCTTAAGATGGAACTGATGAAGGCTAAGGACCGTCTGATGGTTGATCCAGCTACTTGGAGTTTTGACGGTAAGTAGCTTCCTCATACGGTTGATTGCACCTTTGAATTTATTACGCTATCTATACAGATATCCCTGAACTCACTGGCTATATCACTGAGGTTGAATGAACTGCACAGGAAAATAAACCACGCGAAACGCCCATGTTCCAAGCTTTTGCGCCATATTCGCACGAACATGGCTATTCCACACGCCATTACAGCCCTAGCTTTCTTAGTTAACTGAAAGAGATACTAAGGTCCATTTTTGGTTGAAAGAACAAAGGCCCACGAGTAATTCAGTTGGTTCCCATCACTGAACGGAAGTAACTGGTTAGCAGTGGGACTGCGAATCGCGCTCGTTATCCACTAACCGCAAATAGGCATCGCTTACATTTTATATGGAATGAACTTATCAGAAATGTATACACTCCTACACTACAAGCACCGCCATCTTTTCACATAATAGCCTGGGGAATGGAGAAACTTGTAGAATCTTCTCAAGTCCAAACGATCAGGGGTACTTCCTAAGTTTTGAAGTAGTAACCATGACACAACACTGCATCTCTAAGATACATGCAATGAATCGCCATATTTTTACCGATTCGTATATGAAGTCATACTGCTGTCATCGGAGAATTCGTCAGATGGCGACCTGGAAATGAAAGTAATTTATATCTTTTTAATGTACTACTCACAAGGTTGCTGAAAATCCGTCGACAGCGCACGATCGGTTCCGCCCTTTTTGGGGATCATCAGGTAGGCGTAGTCCCCGAGTTTACGTCAACCTTATGCTCTACTTGGACCCAAATTACACGAGACTCGGCGAATACACTTATCTGCGTACCGGTTTGGTTTTGACGGGAGGCACTTGGATCCAAGCTGAGTCTCTCGTTTAGGCTATTATTCAACCGAATTTCCAGTGCCTTATGCTTCAGTTAGTACGATATCCGAGTATGTCAATACATGGTTTAGCATATTCAGCTGGATGAGAACATCACAAACGAGAAATTCAGCTGGGTTTCAGGTGAGTCTCCCGTGAAAACCAAATAGGTACACAGATGAGTGTGTTTGTCGAGGCGGTTGTTGGTTCATTTTGGAAATGCTACTGACTACAATTGCTGATGCACCAAGTGAAGTTATTCGATGCTTCCACAACCGGTGGTTGCCGATATCAATTCAGAAATGACTGATGTGAGAACGCTGTGCATGTAGCCAGCCAAAGACTGGTCAACGTACTGTCACGTGTTGTGATTTGTACACCCTGCCGCTTGTGCGTGTGTACTTAGTTTGAGCATACTTCACACCTGATAACGAATCGTCCTTTCACTTGCGAACTGTCACGCTTGAGTCATCATTGTGGGCCGGACCAAGCGGCAGATAATACAATCAGATCTGTTAAGGTAAACAAGTGTCAGTGAATAGTCACGCATTCAACACGTCTCTCTTTCGCTGCAGTATCTAGACCTCATCCAAACTGACCTGATAGATTGCAATAGCCAAGTCAAGCTCTTCGACCGACCCTAGATTGACCGATGCGATGGTAACTGTGAGCAAAGACTGGGCCAATCAGCGGACAATTGAGGGATCCAGTCAATGAACATAAAAAGGTGACTCAAGAGCGACAGGTGACACCGCAACTCAGTCCTAGGCTCAGTTATGAGGCATGCACAAACGGCAGGACAAGCACCTATCACAACTTCCCAATGCCCCTCGGNCCGATTCGTATATGAAGTCATACTGCTGTCATCGGAGAATTCGTCAGATGGCGACCTGGAAATGAAAGTAATTTATATCTTTTTAATGTACTACTCACAAGGTTGCTGAAAATCCGTCGACAGCGCACGATCGGTTCCGCCCTTTTTGGGGATCATCAGGTAGGCGTAGTCCCCGAGTTTACGTCAACCTTAGGTTCTACTTGAAACCAAATTGCACGAAATCAGCGAATATACACTCATTTACAAACTAATTTGGTTTTCGGCTGGGTTCCAGTTGAGTCTTTCGAAAAACCGAATTAGTTTGCGAATGAACGTATAATCTCTAAAAGCAATTTATATTTGCCTCGGTGTGGGCGGGCATGATTACAGTTCACTCCTTGTAACTGACTAGCGGGATTGGCAGTCAGGTCTTGTGGAAGTTGTATCATGACGAACAAGATACTGTACTCAAACCATGAATCATTCGATCCTACAGTGTTTCTTGATGTGTCGTTTCGCTTCGCATCCCCCGTCATCGTCATCATCATCATTGACAGAAAGGCAAAGAAGCAGTAAACCTTCGTTTCTACGTAGGGTGCTATTGGCCAATTCATTACTTCGCACAAGAGGTGAGGTATTTCAAATTTCTTGAGGTTGTAGATGAGATGATATGGTTTACAGGCAATGGGAAAGCTTTGATGATGTATGGTTTAGCAGCAATCGCATTTCATTAGGTCAAGCTGGAAAATCCTTCGAACCCTATGGTCTCACTAAGTATGAATGCGTTTCGTTTGAATAACTACGTTCAAAGGCCCTGGCGATCATGCACTGCTCTTTCTCATAATCTTTGTTATCACAGTGTGCGTAGCCGAGCAAATGGATCCGGATGATGAGGGTTTCCTTGATGCACTAGAGCTGGAAACCGAAATTCTCCAAAAGCGAGTCGACGCATGCAAATCGAGGGTGATGCTTATCACTTGCTTTGATATCCGCACAGAGGCAGAGATTAGTCAACCTTCAACTATAACAACCAGCAGTTCCGGGTTTTAAAGTCGACGGATTTGTGGCAACTCTCCGCATGTCCACATACCGCCTCAGTGTTGCCGGTGAATCTTGCTGGCTATTCATCCATCTACGTCGATTTCTAATTTTCGGATTTCCACTCCTTTCTACTGGCTTTGTAAACTGCTGTGTCCGTCAACAAAGGTTCACTTTTTGTGTTTTATAGTAATTTTTTGTTTATAAACACCCCACCACATGCCTGTGTCGAACGTTCCGATCATGCAGATCTATTCCACTCAGTGTATTCGGCTGCTGGAAGCAAGCCACGGTTTACCTTTTCGAACAGATACTGAATATTTTGCTCCGAAAGATGTACATTTATTGCCCCTTCTGTAAATAAGTAACACTTTCTTCATTTCTCTCGTAATTGATAAACAAATATTATTTCAACGAGCATATTTATTGTTCGGTTGCAATGAAGGGGTTAAGCAACAGAAAGTTCTGGTCATCCATTTCATGATTGATGTTCATTCACCTATTATCATCTAGTTCATCGACTTGGCTCCAACGGGGTCGACAAACCTTTGTAGCGGACCGGGACCTTATCAGCGTGTTCGGATAAATTAACAAGCAAAGTAACCAATACAAAATCACAATAGGAAAGGAATGAGTAGTCAAATGAGGACTCACGGATGTGTAGGTCCAATAGTCCACTACACCGATCCAAATGCAGTAACTAGCAGTGAAAGGAAATATTCACTTGTCGAAATTTCCCACAGATGGTTCCGCGTGAGTGATATATTCCACAGTAGAAAAATTATTCACGGCTAAAAAATGTCACAGGGATTTATTGTGGCGTTCAACAGTTGACACAGACACAGAGACTTGGTCCCACTGGTTCAGCAGTCAACAAACAGTTCAACCGAGCGTAAATACACTCGTTCAGCAAGAAGTCAGCAGGTCGCACCGGAAAACTGTGTATTCGTCACACTAAAATAAACGTCATGATACAATATGAACGACAGTTACAAAGTGTGGTTTTAAGTTCAGGATGAATGGTAAATGTGACAACGGATTACAGACACTACACCTTTCATCATCTTTGCGGGTGGGTGGGCCGGAAAAGTAAATAACTACTTTAAAATAGTGATTGGTCTGAGTGATCAGACAACAGGAATTACTGAGGGACTCTATTATCGTGTTGTGTGAAAACCTTTTCGAACTAAGTGTCAGTACACGATTTGGCTGTTTTTGTCCCAAAAGAGTGCAGTTTTGCTTCAATTGTTAAAACAACGCCTAACCTTCAGCCCCACTGAATTATGTCACAGACTACGTCTTCCTCTGTTTGTTTGCCCACTGGGGATTGCGTCAACAACCGATGAGTAACTTGTGTGGCGCACATCTACACCCCTGCATTACTATTTGCGTTTCAGGTGCACAAAAGCTGTGCTATTTCAGAGTCTGTTGGAGGAGAGTGTTGAGTAGAGACAGTGCAAAACGTTTCGAACTGTTGCGCAGCTACAGATACAGCACAGTTTTTGGGGGAAATTTACCGATAAAAACCAAATTCAACCGGTAAGAATAACAAGAAACCTTCATTTCGTGCTTTGATCTGGAGCGTTTCATTTAATTGATGGTGGCTGTCTGTGGTTGACCTGTTCAGTGAAATTGTCGACGCTAATGGACAGGGTGGAGGCCTGAAGATAGTTACTGCTTTCAGCATATTATGCCGTAGATCTCGTTCGACGAGGCTGTTCAGGCGGGAAATTCAGCTAAACCCCAGCTGGTTCCATCCATGAGGAATTCTCGAACACTCACTGAACCAAAGGTTGACATGTAACAGAAGATAAATCGCATTTAGTTTTTTGATAAAGTCTAAACTCCAAGTGTGACTGCGGACGAAAACTTCGCCTGGGAGTGAAAAATGGGGAAATGCGACCGTTTGTTGAAACACATCGTGAATTTTGTGTGTAGCGCATGATAAAGTGCTGTACAGGCCTTCTAATCGAAAAAAACGAATAAAAGGGTAAGACAGTCAGAACCGAGACGACCATTAATATTCATTTCAAAAAAATCTGTCAGTGAAAACAAAACAAAATTTAAGACCCACGGTTTTCTCGTCCGACCACGGACCTCTGCTGAAAGACGATTAACGGTGAAAAACGTTTGCGATCAGATGAAGACCATATGAGTTATGCGGAGGACTGCCAGTCTGTCCGCACACACATTTTGTGTTTGGCAGTCAGCTAGCACAACGCATGTGGCGTTACATCAAGATTTATGGGCTACGGTTGTATCCAAGCCATCACACCATGGGCGCATATGGTTTGCAACGGAAAGTCATGACCTCTTTTGAATAGCTATATGGGTTACTCCAGATTAGCAATTTTGGTATCTTTTCTGTCAACCCGTCCTTGAAAATTTCAAGAACGGCAGTTTTAACTCCCGTCTTACCAAATGTCCAATTAAGTTTATGAGAGATTCACTCACCGCATATATGATCACCATAAGGGCTGGTTCGTTAATTTATTTGTATTTTTCAAGCAGGGACGGATTTCGTCTCGATCATGTTCCGTCAATTTTATTCCATTGGAAGCGAAGCAAAACCATGATTGCATTATCGATCAAAATATGCCATCTATACACTTAGAGTATAAACCTTATTTAATTAGCGTTTTGTGTGGTCAGACATAAAGTCCTTTGTTGAATAGAGAAATTGAGAAAAAGGCGGAAAATTCTGTGGCGAGTACTGGTAATTGCCACAAATGCGATTTCCAGTCCTATTACGTACAAAACACACTTAGAGCTGTCGGTTGAGGAAACCTTCTTGAATTCAATTTCGAAGAGATTTCGGGGATGCACGATACACTACTTATTAGGAATCTTCAGTAAATAGTTGCAAGCGACCAAAACCAAACTAATTAAAACCGAAGTTAACGGTAACTGATTCCCCGGGATTTGAGTTGCAAGTAGTATTAACGTCGTGTTATGCAGGATGTATACTGATCGAGAAAATTTCTAATCAACCATAGAAAACCGCTGTTCACTTTGAAAAAGAGGTACACTCTTCTTTGGTTGTCGAAACTAACATCAAAAAGTGCAGGTCTAACCTGAAGTATACTCCAACTTGATTACACCAGATATATGTGCTTTCAGCTTTCATTCCTTAACTTCTATCGATATTTTCTTGAGGTAACCATTCCAAGCAGGCTTACTGTTGGGTAAACCCTCATGCGTACTAGCTAAATCTCGGCTGCTCAGCCAGCGCCATCCAAAAACCGTTCATTCAAACACCTTTATAAGCGCACGCCAATATGTCAACTACCATCGGTTGAGGTGAACCGGATATGAATGGTTACGTGAACAGAGAGTAGTTAACCCTTATTAAGCCACTATTATCTAACAAAATGAATCACAATAGGTTACGCCGAAAGGCACAGCACAAATCAAACTAAAAAGGACAAATCAGCGATGAGCTGGTGGTCGAATTTGAAAACAGCAGGGTTTTGCTGTAGCTGCTATCTAGCATTTGCACGTTTTACCGAAACGCAAACAGGACATAAATGTAGCGAACAAATGTACCACTGTTAGGAAGAGTCTAGTTGGGATGTTCTAGGACGTGGAAGTATTTAACGCAATACTTATAACATCACATTTAGGACTTCATGGTACTTTCATGACGATTAAACCACCATGGTCCCTTCGTTTACATTTTCCCACTGCCTTGTTACTTCATGGGGCATATCGAAAAATCGTTCGACCGTAGCACCCTTTTAGTGCCTAACTACCATGCCACCAGAAGGAAGCACGAGGGCTGAGATGCTGTCAGAGCGCCCAAGCCTAGAAAGTAGAAGTCGAGAGGCAGAGATCGCGTTCGAATCATGGACCTTCCGGGCAGTAAATTTGCGCTCCAATCACTGAGCCATCAAGCATACGTGACACATGTGGGCGTATGCGACGAATTGGTCCAGTGCCATGTTTACTGTGGTGTTTTGTACCTTTATTCTGCATTCATTGTGACATTATTTACCTTGTCAAATGCGTAATCGTTTTTCCTTTCAATAGGAAAAACCAAACAAACGCGCTACTGCCTCGACTTTCCCCACTGATTTCTCTCGCGCTCACAATGGTTACTCGTGCTCACTAATGTATCAAAGCATTTCAGACGTTCCTCGGATTTTGTCGTGTGAAAACTGTTCAGAACAAAATCCGTGGACAACCACGGTTGGATTATTACTTCTTCTCTGTCCCGGACGACTACTACTACTTACTACTGTTTCCTTAATCTAGCGTTATTATTTTTATTCCTTTGCCACAAACCTCCGGTAAAGTAGGTTTTTGGGTAGCCAAACCACTATAAGTCCAGTGCATTTGTCCAAGCAAAATGTAACGTTCGCAACATTTGGTGGTTGAGAAGTGATACGTTATGTGGGACTAGCGAAAAAGGGGATGTATCATGGTTCTCACATAGTCTCACAGAAGTGGAGATGGAATAATTTGAATTGGGAGCACACGGCTAGTTTTGTCTCAAAAACGTGGTTTGATTACTGGTTACACTGTTGTAGGGAAGCCAGGTGCAGGGAATAGGTTGAATGAGGACATGCTGCTAATATATAGGGCGAACCGAACAACGCACACGGATTCGAACTTGTGGAATAGAGAGGCCGAAATCGTAGCAGGAAACCGGGCTAACTAAAGTTGAGCGAAAATTCGTCGTGTACGAAAAACCTCGTCCCAGAGACGGGGCCAGACGAAGCCAGACGGGGCTCGTAGTTGCGACTACGTGTTTGAGTGGGCGAGGGGGTGTGGCCAAGATTCTGAAGAAGGTAGTTGCGGGAGTGTCATCACACTTGATATGACAGTGCCATGCCATCATTGACCTGATATGCATCGGTTTATGGACAGCCCCGTAGCGGTCCTCAAGGGTGCCGCCGAGAGAAAGGATACACACCTCCGTGGCAGCTGGATCTGGGTGAGTTGGAGGTTGACCTAGCGTTCAGCTGTAGCATCCTTCCGGTGCCTCACTACCATGCCACCCGAAGGAAGCACGAGGGCTGAGATACTGCCAGGTTGCCCAAGCCTAGACAGGGGAAGTCGAGTGGCGGAGGTCGGATTCGAACCACGGACCCTCCGGTCAGTAAATTCGCGCTCTAACCACCTGGGCCATTTCGCCCCAATTGACCCAAAGAGCCAGACGGATGTAGGGTCACGGATAATTTCCCTTTCGTTGGAGGACCGTGTTAGTGAGGACCGGGCACCAACCAGTTTGAAGGAATGACAGTTCTACGGAGCGTTTGGACAACTGCATTCGAAGTTTGAAGCTTGGGAAGAGAGGCAACGAGGAAGATCGCGGCAGATCGCCAATACCTCTTCCTCGTGCTCCGTTGGTCGACATATTCCACATGTTGT